CATCGAGGGGGTCTTCTGAAAGGACTGGCGCGGGGGGGGGGGAACATTAAAAACCAGTTGGTCTGTGGTTCACTGACCTGTGGCCCCATGCTCGTCATAGCAGCAGGCTCCACTGTGGCTTTACTTTGAGGGGGCAGTTTATCTTCTCTCCACAGATCCATGCACCAGTCCTTTCCGAAGACCCCCTCGATGGCTGGATCAGGCTGCTCCTGCTGCTGTTCTGGAAGAAGAAGCAGATGTGAAATTGGGACCAACTAAAAGGTGGTAATCATCTAAAATCAAAAGTTTAGTCTCTAGACTGGAATGTGAAGAGCTAACGATGCACATCTGCACTTGTGGACATAGATGAGTTAAAGTAGCTGGACTAAAGCTAACTAGCCTGCTGTGACACTGACATATATGACCAGCTGTCTGTCTGTCTGTCGGACCCTTCTGACCTGCGGGATGTCTGCTGCTAACACCGTTGATATGAGCAGAATACGACGGCGCCTCCCTCGCTGCCCTCAGCTGGACCTCCAGTAGGTAACACTTCTTCTTCAGCACCTCGTTTTCCGCTTTGTGCTGGGAGACTTCGGTGTGAAGGACGGAGGAGCATTCGTCGGCGAGGTTGCCTATTTCAACCAGAGCCGCCTTCGTTAGCTTGTCCAGGACCGCGGCTAGCTGCGCCCGAAAACTCCGGTTCGTGGTGTTGCACATCATCTCGAAAGGGAGGCTGGATATGTCGATTTAGTTTGGCAAGATTCTCAACGTAGCAGCGCTGCTCCTTAACCAAATATGTGATACTGCCAGAAACGTTGCTGTGCCGCAATGGGTTGTGGGAAAACGCTCACGTAATCTACGTTTACGAAGTGCACTTGAATGCAGCACAGAATGAAAGCCGCTTTTTTTGACTGAGTGACGAGTTTACAAACGTTTTATTCGTCACTGGGGATTACAGGGATGATGTATGAAGTAATATTACTTATATTGTGTATCTTTAATATTAAATTAGCCCCTTTGTTGACACCCCCCGTTGATTAATGTGTATGAATCTTCACTGCTCTCCAGTGGACACAGGGAGGAACTTCAAAGTCTATTAAATGTGTTGGTAACACACAATTACTACTCTACCAGCATTACTGTTATAAACATCAACATGTAGAACTCATTGTTGGTGTGGTTATTATACATTTTTACTAACCCCAGTTCTGATAATTGTATTAAAAGAGCTTTTTAACTGACAGTTTTGTAGTTTTGTTTACTGTCATCCAGTGGCCACATGAAGGAGCTGCATCCTCCATTACTTTTGTTTACTCAATCATCAATGCAGACAAGATAGAATGCAAGGAATTCTGTTAAATACAATAACATTTATTTTTAAATAAATATATCTAAATTAGTTTCAACCATTTTGATGTCATAACAACTTGATCTTAGGGATGTATGGAAACAAACCATTGTGTTTTTTTCAGGCTACAATTTTCAAGTGATGTGCCCTTAACAAGACCCAAATCAAGTAAGGACAGTCTAAAGATAGATCCTGTTGGCAAAAATCTAGGAATGTTCTGCTCCGAAGGCCTGTGTCCTCATGTGAGTGTTTGTGTGAACTTCTTTTGACAGCAAGCGTCTCAGCTGGTTTTGCGATTAGACATCACAGTTGTCTACTCGATGAGCATTTCAGCCGTTTGTCCTAAATAAGAGTTACTAAACTTGTTGAAAATGTCAATGTTTACGCAGAGCTGATTTGCAACCATGACATTCCTGATAGGGATAAGGTGACCTTCTTACTAGAACGAATTGTCAAAGAGAAGTGATGTTCCAGACCTTATGAAGATTTCTTTGTGTGAACGCGTTTCGTGTGTTATCCGTTGTATCAAGAATTTATGTGCCAGCACACTGCATATGTTATCCTCAGTATAAATATCAGAGACTATCATGAGTCGGCTCTTCCACAGACAGAAGATCAGGAAGGCACCAGGCCCAGACGGTGTGTCACCCTGACGTCTGTGGTCATCAAATCCTATGAGAAACTGGTGTTGGCCCATCTGAAGAACATCACAGGGCCCCTGCTGGACCCCCTGCAGTTTGCCTACCGAGCAAACAGGTCGGTGGATGATGCAGTCAGCATGGGACTGCACTACATGCTGCAACACCTCGACTCCCGGGACATATGCAAGGGTCCTGTTTGTGGACTTCAGCTCAGCGTTCAACACCATCATCCCAGCAATACCCCAACCCAAACTCTCCCAGCTCACTGTGCCAGCATCCACCTGTCAGTGGATCACAAACTTTCTGGCTGGGAAAAATCACATCCAGTACCCGGACTATCAGCACTGGCGCCCCCCAGGGATGTGTGCTCTCCCCACTGCTCTTCTCCCTCTACACCAACGACTGCACCTAAGAGGACCCGTCTGTTAAACTCCTGAAGTTCGCAGACGACACAACGGTCATCGGCCTCATCAGGGACGGTGACGAGTCTGCGTACAGATGGGAGGTTGAACAGTTGGTCCTCTGGTGTGGTCAGAACAACCTGGAGCTTAACAGGCTCAAAACTGTGGAGATGACAGTGGACTTCAGGAGGAGCCCCCCAACACTGCCCCCCCCCCTCACCATACTCAACAACACTGTGTCTGCTGTGGAGACCTTCAAGTTTATGGGATCCACAATCTCCCAGGACCTGAAGTGGGCCCCCAACATCAACACCACTCTAGATTACTGCAACTTGGGCTGTTTTCTACTTATTAGGCATCAACAGCTATCAATAAACCAATATTTATTGATGAGTGCAGTCGTCGTGGGTAAGTTCACAGTGTCGGGTTTTTATAGTGTAACTTATACTGTGTTTATTATTCATACGGTAGCACAATATCAAGGGGGTTGGCTGAAACTTAGTTACTGGTAAGTAAAAGTTAAGCAGCAGATAACACATATAATGACACAGATTCCATCCCATTTGAACAGTCAGGTAATGCACAAAATCTGGAGCAAAAATAACTTTATTATGCACAAAATATTTCAATACAACAGCAGTAGAAGTTACATTTGACTGGCTGTTTTAGGTGGTCCCGTTTATGAATGTCCCACTGAATGTCGGTACACTGGATTCACTACCATACATGTGAAAACTAGGATCTAGATGTACAGCCAGGTGTTTTTTCAGGTTGCAGTTCTTGGTAAAGCCCTTGCCACATTTGATACAAACAAAAGGTTTTTCTCCGGTGTGTGTACGCTGATGCATATCGAGAGTGCATTTCTGAATGAAGCCCTTTCCACAAATAGGACAGCGGTAGGGCTTTTCCCCAGTGTGTGTGCGCTGGTGTGTGTACAGATGTCCCTTTTGAGCGTATCTCTTCCCACACAGCGTGCACCTGAATGGTTTCTCTCCCGTGTGGCTCCTCTGGTGTATTTCAAGCTGGCTGAAGCATCGGAAGCTCTTGCCGCACTGCAAGCAGCCAAACCTCTTAGCAGCCGAGTTCCTCAAGTTGTGAAGCTTCACATTCCGGAGCACACTTAAGCTTTGGGAGGCAACGTTTTGAGCCGGGCTTTTCCCCGCCACTTGGTTTGTGTGTGCAGGTGCAAGCTGTGGATTCCACTGCGTTTCCCTCCTCCCTGGTCCAGCGAGAGGCGACTGACTGCTCATGGTCACAAAGCTGTCGGTAAACAGAGGCTGCAGGCATTCTGCGACAGGTTTGGGACACTGCATCGCTTCTGAACTCTTCTGGGTGTCTGTGAATGCTTCCCTTCCTGTTGACAGCAAATGAACATGTTAGAATTTGGAATATAATTGATCCTAATAATTACCTAGATGAAGGCCACAAAAGTCACAATAAAGTTACCTGCAAGTTTTGCTGGAGTTTCAACCCTTTAAGAACATTATTGCTGAACCACATAAGCAAAGAACCTTGGCAAGAGCAATTTTAACAAAACAAATCCACTTAATATCCATTTTATTACACAAAAAGTGATTGTCCTGAATCATATGTGTTTTATTCATTCAGTGCAACCAAACTTTCATGTAATACTCACTGTTTTCACTTGTCCTATGTTGTTCACAGTCACTGGTGTCCTCCTCCGACGGCTCTTCCTTTACCACTATGAGTTCTGGTTGCTCTTTCAGTGGGTTTGGGAGCTAGTGAGAGAACATGAATCACACCTGTTACAAATGAAGGACACAGTACTAATATGGTGACATAATAAGATCAGTGCTGGACTTACCTCAGCTATGGCATGCTCTTCACCATGAAGGTGATGCCATTTGCTCATCTCAGTGGAGGTATTCGTGCTTTCCCATGGACTTTCACTGAAAATGCCATAAACTCGGGTTAAATACAGCAGGCAGGGTGTAGCTGACAGCACAGTCCTGATGGAGATATGATGCCTACCTACAGGCTGCACACAGCAATCAACAAGCCTACCATTTAGTGGCAGGTCTCGTCCTGTCAGGCTCCAGGAGTCCGTCCTCTGAAGCGTCCCTCACCGCAGAGCATGCTGCTGCTGCTGCGTCCTGCGTCCTGCCGCCCTGCGCGAGGTAAAGCAACTTCTCCATCAGCTGCAGCTTCTCTGTGAGCGAGACGATTTCGTTCCGCCCGCGAGTTATCTCAATCTTAAGCATCTTCGACTCGATCTCGACCAGTTTGCTTATCTCCATTACAGCTGTTTTGGATAACGCGTCCATGATGGAGACGAGCTGTGTCTGGAAAGAGAAGACTGTCGACATGTTTTTAATCTTTCTGTGGGGCGCGAGACAAACACCGTGAAGTTGACGCAGTCCGGAGGTGTTATGTTCACTGAGAAATGTAGTTACAACGTAATGCAAGAGAAGAGCTGTGTGTGTGTGTGTGTGTGTCAACTAGATACGCGAGTGCCTCTTCAAAACTCAAGTGGTTGAAACGGATACAGTGTTGCCATCTAGTGGCTGGGAGTACGTATAACAACCGTATGAAAAACTTAAATATCGACCAGTAATATTAACACAGCTTTTTTATTTACCCTTTGGTGTTGTGTGAAATCCCCGCACTCGGTTAATCGCATGTTTTTAATTTGTTAGTCGATAAAACTGAATTTCTAGGTCGTTGTAGCTACGTAGTCGGGGACCACACTGACCAGAATGCAGTGCGGCCTAAAACACAGAATCTGATTGGCTGCTGAGAATTCGATTCAGGAAGTAGGGTTAGTGCGTCGAATTACATTTGCCGACTGAAAGTCCTCCTCATGACAATCCGCTGCTGAGCTTCCCACGAAGTAAGGACACTTCTTTTTTTCTCGGAAAGCTGTAGTTTAAGACTTTAAAAGTCGAGTTTGTTTAAGAAACGAGCATCGCTTCTCCTGCATATTTCCGGTATCAGCCAATCCTGCAGAATCAGCCGGGGTTTGTAGCATTTTGTAGCATTTAGATCCCTATATTTGCACAGTCCCAGTCTAGATACATTACATTATCAAGCTAACATTAGTGGAAATATTGTTAAAAGAAGGGTCTTAAATAAGCAAATCAAGTTTATGTGGATAATAATTAACAGACTCGGTGAAGACTTGCGCAACAGTGTTGTAATTGACTTCCTTGTGTGTTGCTCAAACCTATTCTTTCTCTCTCTGTACAGCCCAGTATCTCCTCAAATCAGATTGCTCTTTCATGGCTGGCAGAAGGGTCGTGGTCTTCCCCTCCTCCGCGGAGCTCGGTCCGGTGCTGGCCCAACTGGTGACGTCTCGGGCCGAGAAAGCCCTCACCTCTCGTGGCAGGTTCACCCTGGGCCTATCTGGAGGAAGCCTTGTGTCCATGCTCAGCAAAGAGCTGCTTGCTCTGCCAGAGCTGGACTGCAGCAAGTGGCTGGTCGGTTTCTGTGACGAGCGAGTGGTTTCCTTCGATGACCCTGATAGCACCTACGGGCTGTACAAGGTTCATGAGTTCATGAGTGTGTTTATCTGCGTGTGTCCTGGTTACATGCATGTATGGTGATCTGTTACACTCAGGTCAAATATAACCCTGTGCTTCTTTTCCAGAGTCAGTTGTTTTCCAAAGTTAACATCCCTGACAGTGGGATCTTAACCATCGAGTCCTCTCTGCCGGTCAACGAGTGTGCGGAGGATTATTCCCGGAAACTGAAGGAGGTGCAGACATCTTTACTGTTCTGTGATCAGGCCCGAAAGTCACCCGTGCATCTTCTTTTAGATTTAAATATTTTGCTTGTTGTGAACACACAGGCCTTCCCAGGTGACGACTTCCCAGTGTTTGACCTGTTACTGCTGGGCATGGGGCCTGACGGACACACCTGCTCCCTGTTCCCAGATCACCCTCTCCTAGAGGTGAGGGCCATCCTTTAGTGAGTCCGACAGACCGACGGGTAAAATAAGGTCTGCCTGTATATCTGTCAAAGAGTGACCCCTTCTCTAATTCTCACACAATTATGTTTATTAAACCAATATGGGATCATAGTTTTGTTTGCAATATATTTATCATACTTGATAAATTATTGAGGTTTTTATTCTGGCCGCCTTGCTCAGTAAGGTCTGGAGGCATTTTGGAGTTTACTCTTTGATGTGGTGCCTGATTTGCTAGACTAGAAGAACAATGTGTGTTTTTTTTCTACTTTACAAGACACTCCCATGACCATGTATGGATCAATGATAGGTTTTGGTTTAATCAGAACTTTGACTTTGTGGTCTGCAACCTTATCTCTTGTTACACGTCTCTCTCGTATTATATCATATTTGACAGTCACACTATCGTCTTGGGTTGTGGTTCTCGCTTTGGCACTTTTTTTTTTTTCTTTCGGCGACTGTACGCATTACACATGATAGATGATTGGGTTTTGGGCATTCCCCATATACAGGAAACCAAGAAGATTGTGGCTCCCATCAGCGACTCTCCCAAACCACCACCAAAGCGAGTCACTATGACCTTTCCAGTGGTGAACTCTGCACGCTGTGTGGCTTTTGTATCAACGGGAGGAAGCAAAGCGCCCATTTTGAAGGTAAAATTTAGAGTCTTTTACTGAACACATCTCACATTTGTAATCTTAAAACTCTCCTGTTTCTATGGCCTTTCAGAGGAGGGCATGTTTAAACACAAAACCCATAGAATATGACATGACCATTTTCTTACAGGAAGTGCTGGAGGGTAGAGAGGGTCCGGCGCTTCCAGCGGCCCGGGTTGTCCCGACCAACGGCGATCTGTTCTGGCTTTTTGATGACCCTGCAGCTGCCTCCTTAACTATCCAGGTAGAGAGGCTCGGCTCAGGGGCCAAACTCTAGAGCTTTACATCGGCCAAATGAAGGCAGGAAGTCAACACTGGTGTGAAAACCTGATTGAAGGAACTGGAAAATAATGCAGAACATTCCTACTTTCACATGAAAGTGTAATAGGTTTACGTGAGATAAGATAGGGAGATGTACAAGGAAGAAATTGAGGGCACAGTTGTAATTTTCAGCATAAGATTCAGCACTTATTGGATAATGGTTAGCGTGTCAGGTGAGGTTTAGCTTTATTCTAGTAAAGTCCCACTCTACTCAAACATGTGTTTTGCTTATTGTTAGTTCAGTTGGATATCTGACCCTCACTGTGCAGAATAATGTGCAGAGTTTGACATTCGAAGCCAGTCATGACCCAAATTTTGCCTCGTACAAAAGTGTGATGAGGAAAGTTGAAACATGCAGCAATATATATCAACACAAAACAGTCCACTAATCTGACAAAGTTATTATGTCAATACTCTGTAAAAGTCTTTATTCTGATTGTCTGGGTTTCCTTCACACCCTTTATAAAATATCCAATAAAGTCCTGAAAATCAACACTCATTTGTAACACGTGTGCATCTTTCAACCATCTATAACACTTTTATTTATTAGCAATTCAAAAAAAAAAAAAAAAAATGTGAATTGAACATTGTGCCTTTTGTGTTCGCTGTGCGGTCTTCTTCTTCCGCTCTCTGCAGCCCATCCCCTTTAAGAGCACAGCCCGCCCCTTTAACGCACAACTTTGCGGCGTTGTCACATCGGCAGCTGCTGCACAGATTTTGCTCGGTGATGACCGCCGCGCGAAGTAAAGAGACAACTTTTCCCTAGCAGCAGTGTCTCATCGCGAGGCCACCCTAGCTAGCTTTGTTTCACTCGTATTTTCTGAATTGATCGTCGCAATGCACGGGCTCGCCTGCCTCCCCGCCGCCCTGCTCGCCTTGCTGCTGACCGGCTGCTCTCCTGCTCGGGCATACTTTGCGGAGGAGCGCTGGAGCCCCGAGTCTCCGCTCCTCGCGCCCCGGGTCTTCCTCGCGCTCATCTGCAGAAACGCGGAGCACTCTCTGCCGTATTTCCTCGGTACCATCGAGCGCCTCAACTACCCCAAGGAGCGTATGGCTCTGTGGTAAGTTGATACAAGGACGCGTTTGTTTTTATTAAGCTAGTAAGCAGCTAATAGGAAAAGTTAACGTTTCCTCTTGAAAGTAAAACGGTGCATTCCTGAGTGTGTAGTTCTGAGTCAAAATGGGGTGGATCTGCAGGGTACTAATGGTAACAAGGTTGTGCTGCGGCTTAAAAGTGTCAAATCTACACGAGCAGGGGAAACAACGAGGAGCTGACGCAGACTTCAGAACAATGCACATTTAAAACAACCTTTAGGTTGGACAGAGGTGCGCACATCTGGCCACTCTGCTCATCCGAGGGTCCATGCATTGATCTGTATACGTGGAGGGGAGGGGACTGATCTGGCCGCGAGGGGAGCTGTATGATTTCACACAAATCCTGACAAAGTGACTTATTTTGCTTGTCTGTACTTTCCATTAACACACACCTTTAGGCGACCTCTAGTTCTCGTCTCCTCCAGCCCAGTCTGTGTGATTTGCCAGTGGATTGATTGACTGCATGCTCATCATGTCAGTGAGCAGATGCGTTTTCATAGCCCACAGATCTCCATCTTATCTGGCTTTAGCCCCTCCCAGCACTAACTGTAACAAAAAATGTAACTAATCACTAACTTCACTGCATTGTGTTTTAGGCCTCTGAAGGACATTCTGTGTAATTCTTCTTCATCCTTTTATAAAGGAGTGTTGAGAAAAGCCTTTAGCTTTGTGCAGGGCGGGACATGAATATTCACTCTAGTGATTATAAGTGTTGATGAAGGAGACTAAAACCTAGTGTCATTCTCTGGTATGGCCCACTTGACGCCATACCAGACGCATTCAAAGGCAGTTTTCTTGCGGGTTAGTGCAAAATGATTGTATAGACCGTTGAGCGTCTGTCTACCATGCTCAGGCAGAGTTATGGGAAGTGAAAGGGAGGTGTTTCTCACATCATAACAACATGCTCCAACAGCCCACCCGTGCTTATACCCTCAGAGCTCAGTTTGCATGACAGCCTGGAGGGCCCGTAGAGGTATGCTCTTCACTCACCACCCCCCACCCCCTTTATTTCTGGGCTTCATACGAGTGGAACAGTTGGATTGCCTCCTTTTTTCCTTTTGTTTGGCGGTCATAAAATATGGTTGAGGTGAGGACAGTTTTGTTTTGAAACGTTCTGTGTACATTAATTACATCTGTGAAATGCAAGCAGCTGTGAGATGTCGTAAACGTCGACACACTGTATGCTTTTTTTTTTTTTTGCTGAAGCATTTTGCAGCTGCTTGTAAGTATGCCAAAAGGCTCCGGATCCGAATCGGCTAAAGTGTCATTTAAAGTTTTTGGTGTCTGCAGTTAGCCCTGCGTTTCTGCTCTCAAAAAGAGCAGCGACAGACTGGACGTCAGTGGAACACCACTTGTAGATGTACGTTAAGACCAGCAAAAGGTACACGCTTTTCACAAATGTTTATTTTAGCTAAACATGAGGCGGAAGAGCCGGTGCGATTCAAAGTTTGAGCATTTGGACTGTCGGGACGCCAGGAGTGAGGGATGAAATGGTTTAGCGAGGAGCTGCAGTGTTCTCCCATCTCAGTGTGAAATCTGTCAACAGAACCGGGTTTGGCTGTCGTCCCTCTGAGCATTTCACAAACTCCTGCAAAAAGAGAACCTGCACTACAGCAAAGACTGTCGACCTAAAGCAGCATTATTTCTCTCTTGATAAAGACACACATGCATATGTAATGACTCTAAAGATTTACATGTGGCTTGATTTCATTCCTCTGCAGAATTAGATCCGGCGTGCAAGTTGTCTAACTTCTTCAGCCAGTTCGAATTCCATTTCCTTCTGTTTTAAGCTGTTGCAGATGTTACAGGTACTAGGATTGGTACCAAATAGCCAGATGATAAGTTTCTGTAAACAGGACACACAAATGACACAGGGCAATTTCACGTCTGTTCATCTCGCCTGCTCGTCAGAATCAGAATTTATTTACCAAAAAACACAAGGTGCAAAACATATGGTAAACACATTTTAACAGTCTTAGACAGTATTACACGAAATGTTCACTGAGCCACAAACAATGCTTTCGCACCATTTTCGCTAACACGGCACAGCGGACAATCAAGCTAGACACCCACACAAACGCATATATATTCAGACATCCATCTCCTAGCTACCCAGCCGCTAACAATATGCTTATCTAAACCGACTCATTCGGTACTCAATTCTTCCTCACCCACCTGTAAACAGGACACACAAATGACACAGGGCAATTTCACGTCTGTTCATCTCGCCTGCTCGTCAGAATGAGGAAACAGCATCGCGCCGTTGTAGTCTAACTCTACTGTCGTAACGCCTGCCCAAATCAAAGCAAAAAGCACCACCCTGCCCCCTGCTGGCCACAGGGTGGAATGCACACTCCATACACAGTGAAAGCACGTCAGTCCTTTATCAAATGATTATATTTCTAGCATATACAATGCTCACTCTAAACCATATTGGCTTTACATAACCCAAAACACACCAATTCACATGTGAAAGCACATTGGTGGGTGTCACACAGACAACAGTTTCACTTCTGTAATGCCGTTTATTTAGTATGGTTTCCTTATTCCTTAAAGTGTGGCATGCCCCCCCTGAATTATGTAATCTAGATATTCAGTCTGTGTTTTTGTTTTGTGATGCTGGTATCATTAACACTCGTGTCAGTTCCCACAGCTGCAGACAATGAGCTCGCACAGAGTGAACACTGGGCTTTTGTTATTTGAGTCATGGTATTGTCTTTCAACTCACTCTGGATCCTGTCTGGCACATTCAGCCAATGTCCCCGGCTTCACTTGTTGATAATGTTCAAACCCCTCTGATGTGAAATCATTCTAATCATTAACACTTGTTGTTTATCGACAGGGTAGCGACTGATCACAACAAGGACAACACCACCGACGTCCTGCGCGACTGGCTCGTCAAGATGCAGAGCCTTTACCATTATGTGGAGTGGAGGCCAAAAGAGGAACCCGAGTTGGTTACTTACTAGAGTTTCTGGTGAAAATTTTTAACTCACGGAGCCCATTTAAAATCCGTCTGATTAGTATCCAAATATCTCTTGTAGACGTTATCGGAACGAAGATGGTCCGAAGCAATGGACGGACCTCCGTTACGAGCACGTCATGAAGCTTCGCCAAGTAGCGCTGGAGTCAGCTCGCGAGATGTGGGCGGACCACTTTATGGTAGGTCAGCTAGACTGCTCTTTACTGGCACGAAAGAAAGCACAATGACAATGAAGGAATTTCCATTTTAAACATTGAGAAAGGTAAGTACAGAGTCGAGTGCAAAGCAGCAGCACAGTGGTACTTTTAAGCACCGGGAAGGGTGTTGGAAAAATGTTATATCCTTCTGCCTCTCTTATGGTTAACGTTCATCTGGTCTGGTTCATTTGGATCCGTACACTGACACAAAGCTTGACTCGACACCGACCATATATTCCAGCATTTTGTATTCCGCAGCCCTCAAAGTCGAGCTTCAGTGGGCTATAATTTCGAGGCAAAGTGCATCCAGAATTACAATCATTTTGTGCTGCAAATTCTGGAAACTCTCTCCGCTTTCACCCATGAAAACAAAAATGAAACGAATAGTCTGTAGGGTTTGTTTACCGCCTCAGTTTTAGTCCTCCCTTTAACCCTCGTGACCTTCTCAACATTTCTATTGAAGAGTCACTTTATGGACTTTATGTTACAGTTTTATCTCCTTCTCCTTGTTGTAGTTGGCGGACTGTGATAACCTCCTCACCAACCCCGATGTGCTCTGGAAGCTCATGAAAGAGAACAAGACCATCATCGCACCAATGCTTGAATCCCGTGCAGCCTATTCAAACTTCTGGTGCGGCATGACCTCCCAGGTATTGTGTTGACGATTGGGGTGTACATGCTTGCGTATGTCAGATGTTTTCAAAGTTGGTTATTGAACGCTCTTAAAACCCTCTCGGCTTCTTCAGGGTTACTATAAGCGCACTCCTGCCTACATACCCATAAGGAAGCAGTTGCGCAGGGGCTGTTTCGCCGTCCCCATGGTCCACTCCACTTTCCTGATCGACCTCAGGAAAGAGGCGTCCAGGCAGCTGGCCTTTCATCCGCCGCACCCAGAATACAGCTGGGCTTTCGATGACATCATTGTGTTTGCGTTCTCCGCTCGGATGGCAGGTAATTTTACAAATTCAGTGCTTAGATCTACACATTTCTCTTTTAACATTTACGACATAAACGTCGGGACTTCACGTTGAGAAAACATTTTGCATCCTCTGCTCTCTACAGATGTTCAGATGTTCGTATGTAATAAAGAGACCTATGGTTACTTCCCTGTGCCGCTGCGGTCCCACAATACTTTGCAAGACGAAGTTGAAAGCTTCTTGCACTCCATGCTGGAGGTTAATGGTGAGTAGCTTGCATTCACGTCTGCATCTGTCTCCTCTTTTTTTTTTTTTCCATGAGCTTGAAGCCTGTATTCTACTTTCCTGCTTCTTCATCTAATGACAACTATCAGCATGGGTTTCTACATATATTATTTACACCATTTGTGCATCCATCTTCCTTCTCACTGTGTAGTTCGAAATCCCCCAGTGATGCCTTCCAAACACATACGTCTACCTAAAAAACAACCTGACAAACTGGGCTTTGATGAGGTAAGTATCGAGTGACGTGAAGGTGGAGTCTGCAAAAAAAAAAAAAAAATGGCCCTCTATACCCGCTTGTGTGCTGAAAGCCTCCGCTGCTGTGAGAAATCTGTCGTTACAATTAAAGTGACTGGCTCAACTGTTGCCCGTGTGCAGGTGTTCATGATAAACCTGCAGAGGCGGACCGACCGCAGAGAGCGTATGACGAGGGCGTTATACGAGCAGGGGATTACTTGTAAGGTCATTGCAGCTGTAGATGGAAAGTAAGCTCACTCTGTTTAAATCATTGTCTGCATTTATTTAGTACTTGGTCATTTCGCGTATTTTCCGTTTTTCTTCACATTTGTTCTCTCTCTCCATTTCAGAGCTACGAATATCAGTGACATTCATGCTATGGGCATCCACATGCTCCCTGGATATAACGACCCTTATCATGGTCGCCCACTGACAAAGGGAGAGCTGGGATGCTTCCTCTCCCACTATAACGTCTGGAAAGAGGTGAACCAACAGACGCCAAGCCATTTTGAACGTTTGTGAGCCACACAGATGCGCGAGTGTTTGATAAATCTGTTGTCTTGGCCTTCAGATTGTGGAGCGACGCCTGGACACCTCCCTCGTGATCGAAGACGACCTGCGCTTCGAGATCTTCTTCAAGCGCCGCTTGATGAACCTGATGAGGGAGGTGGAGGATGAAGGATTGGACTGGGATCTCATGTGAGCTGGCGCTTCCTGCACAAGTCTTTGATTTTAAAAAGTTTGCAATTGCGCGTCTCACTCCACTTCACTTTCTTTCTTCCAGCTATATTGGTCGGAAGAGAATGCAAGTGGATCACCCCGAGAAAGCTGTGCCGAATATACACAACATAGTGGAAGCAGACTATTCATATTGGACACTAGGCTATATGATGTCCTTACAAGGTGCAGAGAAGCTTTTGAAGGCAGAACCACTGAAGAGGATTTTGCCAGTGGACGAGTTTCTTCCCATCATGTTCAATAAACACCCTGTGTAAGTGTACCCCACCCACAGCAAGTACACACTCGTAGCATGAGTTTCTGCTCAGGGAGTTTTGCCTTCTTTGTTTTTTCTTGACATTACCCTCTCGTCCACAGGTCCGATTATATGAAACAGTTTGAAACCAGGGACCTGAAGGCGTTTTCAGCCGAGCCCCTTCTTGTGTATCCAACCCACTACACGGGCGACCAAGGCTACATCAGCGACACTGAGACCTCCACAGTGTGGGACAACGACAAGGTCCGCACAGACTGGGACAGAGCACGCTCGGGAAAGACTGGGGAGCAGGCTGAGATCAGCACCAAGGCCCAGAACTCAGATGTGCTCCAGTCGCCTTTGGACAGTACGGCGCGGGACGAGCTATGAGAGGAACTGAACGAAGGAGCCTCTTAATATTTTACAATTTTGTACACGTTTCATCTTTGATACTTTTGATTTTGCATCACAGCAGGGATGTGACATCAGAGTTGGTAGACGGATTGAATTGATCCAGATGTGACGAGTTGAAAAGGGAACGTGTGTGTCTGTTTGTAGTTTTTACTTTATAAAGGCACTAGACTTGCCATTTGGAGTGGCATTTGCAGTACCCACCTTCTGTCTGTCATACAGAAATTAACCTATTAGCAAAGAATGCAATTGGACTAACATTTCAGTCATCGAGCAGTTAACTTTGTCCTAATCTGAGTTTATACTGTGAAATGCTTTTCTAAATATCTTAAGATGACAAATGCAAATTCAAGACTTTCGCAGACCTTCATGTCTTAAATCAAACCTTAATCATTGTGAAGTCGTTGGTCCAAGAGGAGAAACATCTGCATTTCTTTTGCTTTGATCTTTAGTATTTTGTCCTTTTACACTTCATATTGCTTTGTTTTGAATAATCATTAACCAACACGTAAGATGCTTGCAGTAGAGCTTCACCAAACCAACAAAAAACACAGTTGCAGTCAACTCAGAGTCACAGCTCTACAGACTGCTGTAGAGTATGCACCAATGCTGTTCATTATTCCTGTGTCCATTGTTTCCAGATTTATGCCGCCAACCCGCTGTTGACATGGTTATAGACGGGACAAACCACGGTACACGCCTCAAACTTGGTGGCTTGGGAGTAACATGGTTATAAATGCCATTTCAGTTCCCTCAAAAAGAAGCCACCCAACCACATCCAAACACACATTAGTCTCCACCTCTTAATCATTTTCGGTTAAATCTGAATCTGAGCAAATTGGGTGAGTAAGACCCGATGAAAGGCTCCTGCAAAAGAGAATACAAACAACATGAAGTCTGTATCAATTTTACAGATAAGGTTTTGCCTCACATGGTTTAACACTTAAGCTCCGGGAAGTTGATTTTTGTAGTATTAATGGGAGCCGCTCACCCTGTGGATCTTGCACGAAAATGGTAGTGGTGCATTGTGCCAACAAAAAATAAAATGTTTTATTTTTTAAAAAAGGTTGAATTTGTGATTACTGTGATATTTCATATTCTCATGCTGGTGTAACCAAATGTTCTCTGTTCACGTTTATGCAACTTTAACTTGCCCGTTGAATTCTGAAGCCAGTTACAAAACAGTGTGAACAGACAAAAGACACGAGGGCCCACTTCACTTATGACTTTGTGTTTCGGAATAAATTTTCATTTTGTCACAGATACTGTTGATGCATTATTGTGACGGACGTTTAGTATTTTGAATGGGATGCTTCTGTTACAGTAACTGTTCATTGAGACCTCTTTTACACCTCGTGTGCACTCTGTGGATCTCTCAGAACGGTGGTGAGCCGTATCATATTTATAACTAATTAATTTGTGTATGTCGCTCAAAGCACTGAGTTTGCCCTCACTTGTCTTAGCTTTATTAACCCTCTGGGTGTCACTGTTTTACTGACACTCTGCTTCAACTGGGAAGCTGTGAGGCAACAAACAACCCAATATAGAAGAATTCAACTGTAGAGTATTAGCTCCTCTGTTGATTAAGTGAAGAAGAACTTGATTTTTATTATGTATTCTGATGTAGTACAGATTAAGTATCACCTGTTTTGTTACACTAATACCTGCCAGTATCAAGGTGAAAAGTCTGTTATGAATGTCGCATATCTGTAATCTGTCAATACATACATGATATCCAACCTGTTTGCACTTCAACCACTGAGGCCGTATCCGTTTTTTTTCCTAAAACGACACAATCTAGCAACCCAGTGGCACCTTCTCACTACGTGTAGTGTGACAGCGTAGGTGGGGCTTACAGTGACGGCAAGACACACTTCCTCTTCCCATGGTGGTGAAACGATTGGCCAACCTCCACTCTGCCAGAGGAAGATCATTTTCGTGAGCACAAACGGCAGCAAGCTCAGAGCTGCATGCCAATCATTTGTGTGTCAGTGTTTGTAGAGATTGCTGTGCAACTCTTCAACTGAACCGTTCTTCATTGTGCATTGCAGTTTGACCTTAAGGGCAGATGATGTGTGAGTGGTGTTGGTAGGGTCCAGCTCCTGTGGTGATAGTGTAGAAATGGAAGAAGATCAAGTGCCAAACAAGGATTTCTCTCAAGTCACAGGTGAGTACAAAGAATGTGATTTTTCACTTCATACATAGGATATGTTACTCATCATGCTATATGTACTGTTTGTAGTTTCTTCACTTGTTAGGATTGTTTTTTAATGGATGAATATTCTCTTGCTGTGCCTTGACTTGAAATTTGCTGACATTGCCGTTTTGCCATTATAACGTGTGTGTGTGTATGCACAATGTGCCTGGATATGCCTTTTGTTAATGCTGTGTAGCATCCTCCTAGTCAAAGGAGGACTGGTGAACTTCCTGAACTCTCTCACTGTTTGACACATTTCTTGTTCTGTCTTTTTTGTGTGACTTCTGTTTTTGTATTTAACAAGATACGCCTGTCTTTAATCTTTAATCTTTGCAAAAAGCCCAAATAGAATATTAACATCAGTGAGACTGATTCACGGTTGGTGAAACTTCTAAGTAGAAAGTTTTGCATTATGCTTGTAAGTTCTTAGAAACACGAGGGAACTTTTCACAACACAACTTAAATTCATGAATGTAAAGAATATATTGCAGCAAACCAAAACATTCAAGAGTTTGTCTCTGAATGTGAAGAATTTGACTCTGTGTTCTGATTTTACTTAAAACTTGCCGCTAAATTGTCACTCTGAATACTGAAACATTGCTGGTGTGAAAAACACAAGGCCTCTTGAGTTCATGATGGGACGTGACACAAATTGCAAGCAGGATGTGGTGACCAAAATGGAAACGCGTCTGAGAGAGCAAGACTGCTTCTTCTTCATCTGTTTCATTTGAAATGTCAGTTACATAGTGGGAGTCCAAAAGGTTGAGGCTTCATTATCAAAAGGCACCACGTTGTTCCGCATTATATTTTAGTTCACATTCAGTCCCAGCACTGTTTTTCTCAGAAATGTAAAGGAAATGCTGTTCGATATAACTTCAGGAGAGGAACTAAGTCTGATTTCATTACCCATTTATTTCTTTTACACAATCTTAATGCATGTTTTCTTACATTTCTCTCTCAGAGTATACTGTTATGTTGTACACTAGACGTTTAGCTGATGCCTTATGTTGAGCAGCTCTGAAGTAGTGCAGAAGTAAAGTAATGTCTGCCTCAATAACCACATCACCAACACTGTCAAGGGGCCACCAGAAAGGAGGTCAGAACTACGTGGCTTAGTCATCATTCCAACCTACGTGCATCTGTCTGTTTGGTGGCATTGTAAAAGAAAGAAAACATCATTTTGGGATCTGCAGTTTTGTTCACATAAGCTTTAGACAAGCTTTTAAAGGTTCTTGTTTGGCCTTAAAATTAGCACACTTCCGTTTATAGAGAATATTTGCGTTGTGTTAGAGATAGCGTCAGCACGTCTGTGTAGCCTGCGTTTGATGGTGAGGATCACATTTCAGGATCTCAAATCCACAACGGTGTTACGTATGACATAAACCATGATATTACTTCATCTATCTAAGCTTTTCCAATTTCTCATTTCAGATGTGAAGAAGGTGCATCATAAATCTGAAACCAAGCGATACAGTGAGATCTTCAGAGACTTTGATAATCTTGATTTATCTTCGTAAGTATTACACATTTACAAATGAAACCGAGCCACCGAGTGTTCGTCTTATCTTGCTGCAGCTTTGTTCAGTTTCATCCTGATACTGTGACGGAAAGAAACGCAGCGGTTAATGAGGCATCACTCAGCCATACAGGATGGAACTGTTCAGTTCCATTTGTCAATTCAAAGCCGCAATCATTATTTCATGCGCTGGCAACAAGTTCTTTATCATGTCATGTTTATCTTAATCTAGTTGTGTGACAACCACTGAAACCACTGGAAACTCTTCCTTTTGTAGCACATCTGCCCCAAACCTCCTCACCATTGCTGTGAAGTGGCACTGACTCCTAAAGTAGAAGTGCAGTAAAGTAAATTGGCAAAAGTGTATTCATAAATGTACCTTAAAATGTACATAAGGCAATTGTATTTCTCCTAAATCTGTCTGGCAGATAGCTGCAGGAAGTGTTTGCATGTAGGATGTTCCTCAACAAACCCTGAGCCGTTTTAGGTATTGATATTTGTGTATGTTTCTGTCCCAATACATTATTTTTATATTCAGTGTAGGGGAGGATCTGCTGGCAGACATTGACTCACAGTCCATCACAGAGTCCATCTTTACAGGAAGCGAAGATCTCACAGAGCAACAGGAAGTGTCTGTAAGGAATCAATACTCAAAATGAATACAAGAAATACTTTATGTCTGTTACTTGTATTGTGGAAATTACTGATCTCACTGATCCCAGAAACAGTCTTTGTGAAAATACTTTTTGTCGACAGATTCGTCCTGAGGCCAATGACGTGGATGGAAACCAACCAGGTATGATTTGTGTGACAGTGAGAGAGAAGTGTTGATACAAACGGTAAAGCTCTGTTCACTTGGAATCACTATCTACACAGAAAGTTACCACCAGTCTGTGAATTAGAGAGTTATTGTTGTGGTTAAGGTCACTGGTTTGATTACCATCTCATCTTAACACCAGATCATGAGCCATGATGTCGGTTGTGACATTTAACAGAATATTTTCATCAATCTTTACTATGTTTTCTTCAAATAAGCCGTGAGTTGTAATTGCCCTGCTGTAACAAGATTAGGATAAAGAGACGGGATTAAAGCAGGAGACATCTGCTCTCAGTTGTGACCTCAGGCACAAGCAGAAGACAGAGGGGTCCACCTAAAGAAGGAGGCATGTGAAAGAGGCCACATCACAAAATAAGATATTAGGAATTACAGAGACAGATGGTGTTTAAAGCACAGTGGACATAACAAAGTAGAAATGTCTCTTTAAGATCTTCTTTTGGCTTCAAGTCCAAACCTGTGTGACCCTGTTGAACGCGGTCACTAGTGCTGTATTCCGCTAAATATAATTCTTGCCATCAATCTGCAAAACTACCAGGTCATTTGTGTATGAGTACATTTCATATGATTAAATCAAACGATAATCACTTGTCACTAAGCACATTACTGGAACATGCTCTTTTGGCAATCTGGTTTCATGTGTTTCCATTGGTTGGGATTGGACCCCCCCCCCCCCCCCCCCGGTCACACACCAGGAGGTAAACGTCACTCGATGCTCCTCTAAAGCCTGTCACTCTGAAATCTGGACCTGACGGGGATAATCCCCAATCCAAATGCAGGAGGCCAGAGCCATGGAGCAGCACAAAATCTTCTCAAAGTCCTCAGAGCTCTTCCTGAAACTAAACACAGAGAGGAGAGGCTAAGAGAGGTCAAGCTCGGCACACAATCTGCCTGCAAGTCCATCCTTCTTCTGGAATTGCCTGTTCTTTCTTGTAGATTTTTGCTTGAAGAAAATATCACCCTGCTCGGATTTTTATTCCGCTCTAACTGGATTTGGCATCCGTGCAAAAGAGCAGACCAGAATAAAACGTGCACGTCTGAGTGAGGAACTTGAGAGAGAAGTTGTTGTCTTTCTGGCCATGCGTGCTTGCTCGGTTAAAAACATAGCTGAATACTTGGAACTGCACTGTGGTACGTGAGAAGACTAAATCAAGAAAATCAAGATGTGTTCTAATGGCGTTTGAAATTTATTTAGAAATGTGGTGAAGTGGAGCACGGAGAGAAAGAGGAAAGGAGAGAGACCATGTGATTGTCACGCATACATCGTCCGCCCTGTGTTGGTGTGCGTCAGGGAGGAAGAACCACAGTGGTTGTCATAACAACGCCCTGCCTGCCTGACCACAGTAGAGCTTTGACACGATAGCTTCTGATACCGCTGACTGGCACTGAGGGGTGTTGGTGACTCTGCTCTCACCGCTCGGCTTGTCTCTTTGTAGCTGAAAGAAGTGAACACAGGTGTGAGAGGGAGTGGCCAGGCAGAGAGAGGAAGAGGGGAGAGGAGGGAAGTTATTTAGCTGAAGCTGTTTGTCGTGGGTTCACAGAAACCTTCCACTCTCAGGTCACATCCCATGTGTGTCTACTGTAAGCTTTTACCAACAAGCACCAGTATACTGCTTTCATGCAAGAGATACGCTTAATGTGCGGAAACATACTGGAAACCACAGGACCTGTGCTCTGAGGATGCAGCTATGAGCTGGCGTATGCAGTCATTGTTTCCTGTTTTGGGTTTTGTGTATACTTTTATTTAAGTGACGTTCTTTTAATTGTCTGTGGAAGTCTAGGAGCCTGGGGGGGCTTCCACTCTAGGGTAGACAGGTGTTTCTTTGAGGCCCGAGGCTGTTTGAGTCCTCCAGGAGTGACGAGCTTGTAAGCCGATGGACACTGTGTGATCCCTGGGACCAGCTCCAAGCGTGCGGAGCCTGAAGTGATGCTGATGTTCCCCCTCTCAGCCCAGGAAGCAGACCTGGCCCTTTGTCGGTGTGATGACGGAGTGGAGACGGCGCTGCAGTACACCAAGATGTGGTGCCGCTACGCCAAAGACCTCCTGGCCTGGATGGAGAAGAGAATCAGCTTGGGTAAGTGCAACTGCTGCTGAAAAAAAGCGAAACAGTAGCGTGGCATGCAAATTATTATCTATCGAGGCATCTGTGCATCATGTGAATGCATTTGAATATGACCCGCACACAAAAACAAATTTGATGTAGTGCTAATAAAATGCAAATATACTGTACAACAGAGAATCCAGTGCATGAAAATCCTCTTATCCACTATGCTGTCACTTGTTTTAGAAAAGTA